CTAGAAAAATTTAGTGTGTTCCAAAATACCAAACATCTCTGGTAACTATGGAATTACTTAACCAGTTTCAATACTGAATATAGAATGGAAGAATTCTGCATGGATTCTTTATGAAAACCTTCCTATTTTTAGCATTTCTCTATTCTTTCCTAATGAATGTTTTAAATGGTAACAGCGTACATGTAGATATATTCCAATGGTTAAGGTGTATGAAAAGTATGTGTATGTATTGTAAATTATTTTTTAAATCCTTATATTATGAAGTAAATTATGTATTCAGAAGAAAAAAGGTATACATGTTAGTCCTAGGAATAAGCGCCATAATATTCGTTTGAAGAAATGTATTCTAATCATTTCAGAAGCGTAAACATGTGGGACTGTTATCACACTCTCATAGCAAAGTGGTGGCAAAAATAGACAAAAATAAAGACAAGAAATACCGTAGGACTGTAGCATCATAGGAAAGAAACAGTCCTCAAGATCTCAGCTCTTCTGTGTAGGCATTTAGGCTGGTCCACGGTGACCATTTTTGTGTGCTTTCTAGTAGTTCCGCTCCAGTTAAAGACATTACTCATAGTATCTATGTGGAAGAGCAGCGTACAGTAGTAGTAAGAGGATTGGAAAAGCCTTGCAGCCTTTCTGGAGTTCAGATTCCTGGCTAACAGCATGCTTCATAATATTGTGTCAATGAATGGATGCCTCTGTCATGCTGAAAAGGAAATAATTAATTACACATATAGAACTGTTCTACTCTATTATTTAAGTGAAGCAGCAATCAAGGACAGAAACAGAGTGCCCATGATTGTAATAAGTCTTTATTGCAAGAGACTGCAAAAATTTACTAAGACAAGTAACCCACAAACTTCAGTTATCTCCAAAAATCGGGGAACTGTTCCTTTCATTCCAGAAAGGAATCCCTATTTGTTTCTCCTGTTCACTTACTTGCAGAGATGAGAGGATGGTCCATTAATGAAGTTACAAAATACCCCACTTTGCTAACTATTGCCATTGTGCATTCTGTGAGCAGGTTTCTTATGGGGGGGGAGTAGGGACGGGGTGGTGTTATCTCACAGAAATGATTAGTAAGAAACAGTTACTAGAAACACAACGAATACTTAATGATGAACATTAATAGCTGCTGGAAAACCCTACCAAATTAAATTATGATGTATTTTCTCTCTCTTGAATCCTCCAGATTAAGGCTGGGTGGTTTAGTGAAGAGATGCTTGAGTCCTAGAATTTGTTTTAAATACACGAGGAACTGACCAAAATTCTGTGACTTGCCCATTGCAACTTAAACTAATGGCAGTTTTGCATCTTGGACATTGAGATGCTTAAGTTACCTCCACAAAAGGAAATATGTAAGTGTTATAGCCATTCACTGACTGAAACATCAGGTAGCACTAGCTTAGGTGTGGTGTGACAAGGATACATCTGTACAGCTTTTGGACTTAGTGTGTCTTAATGTGACGGTGCCTGCATGAATTTGCAAGCACGTATCTACAGTAAACATAGGGTCTCTGCACTGTGGCACATGTGCCAGGCATTCTTTCCATGAGTTAATGATCTTTATTGGCCTTAAAAGAACTCGGAGAAAGAATGAGCAAGATTTTTCTGCACTGGTGAAATCAACACTGGTCATGAGAAAATTCAAACAGATCATAAGCAAAATTTTTGATAAGCAGTGTTTTAACTGAAATAGTTTCAAGATTGAGCAATGCATAGGAAGTCCCAAGAAGTAGTTCCAAGTTGGAAGAGAGAGGGGGCTGATTGAATCAGAAATCTCTGGAGCAAGAGATGGAAATAAATTGTATGCTGGACCCAAGGATTTCTTATTTCATTTAAACGAGAGAAATTGAAATGTATTTGAAAGATAAAACACAAAGAAATAGGCAGAGAGGACAGGGCACCAGATCTATTCCAAAGTTTAAGGAGATAACTGGGCTGACATTTGATTTCCGTGCAGCAGAAGAACATAATTAGTATAATTATTCTATGACTTCAGTGAAATCTGAGCAGGTTAGAATCAGTTTTGTGCTGTTGAAGTAAAAATGTATCTAGAGGAACTGACTGTAATGACTTCATTCCTTCTTGTGTACCTTGACACTAGAAAATAACTGATAACGCTTGTTTTAGGATATTAATTGTTAAAAATATTAAGCTATTTATTGGTGGGTTTGGTTCGTTGGGTTTTTTTTCTGGATGTCTGTGGTTTTGTTCTGGCTTTTAAAAATTTGGTAGTAATTTTACAGTACTGTTTTCAGAGCCAGATACTGTATTTTGTATCCATCAGCATAATTCCATTGACTTGAATGGAGTGACAGTGATTTACATAACCTGTTGACCTAGTCTCATTTTATCTTGAAAGCTTACCATCAATGAAACAATAGAAGAGCAGAAAGATGCACAAAAATTATTTAATGACATTTTCTCTGATTGAAACATTATATAATAATTTTGTTTATGTAGCATCAGTAAAGCCAAATATCAGGTCCCTGGCCTAGAGGAGTTGTCATCTGAAGACACAGCAAATTCAGGTCCGTGCAAAGCCAGTGGAGAATCTAGCTGGACTGCTGGCAGCAGCAAAGGGAATAGGAGGGGAGCCTTTTGTCCTCAGTTGATGGGGCTGTTGGTTCCTTTTTTACATACTTAAAATGTCAATAAGAACGTTTTGTGGAATAGGGTTTTGGGGGCTAGAGAGAAAGTAAATAAGCCAAATATCAGTCTTGGGTCTTTTTCCATGGTTTTAAAAGGTCAGGTGGTACAATTTACACTTCTCAAATACCGTGCAAGCCAAACTCACTACCTCCGTAGTCAAAGATCGTCTTATGAAAGCTTTTGTTTATATACAGAACTTGAACTATATATAGAAGTTGGACTATATAGAACTATAACTGGAACTTGATAGAGAATTATGTCTGCCTAACGACATTGACAGAATAGCAGTAATAGGCATTTAATTATTGCTTAGTTTATTTGAAGAGTTAGGGTGTACACTGATTTCTTTAGCTTTTTGTAGGCTATCACATAATATTTTTGTCCCTGTTAAGTGGAGTATTATTGAACTGTAGCAAAATGAGAAGAGAGGAAGGATTTATTGTCTCTATAAAACCAGTTGGAGTTTAGCGGGTTTTATTTTATTTAAAGATAAATGCTTCATTTAAAAACAAAACGAAACCAAAAAAAACACAACACAAAATATCTCTCTCCTGTTTTATACGGACAAACTTTTCCTCATGATAATAACTTTTAAAATCGATACAATATTAAGCTCTAACTTTGCCAAACAGCATTTTTACACTGAACTTCTCTTAAGTATTCTCTGAAATTTGTAGCTGTTCAAAGTCAAGACAAATATGTTTCTAGATGATAAAATACAGAAGATGCCACCTCTTTTAAATAATTTTTATGATGTGTATCTATGTTATTGAAACAAACAATTTTAAGACTTAAAATGCTTTTTTCTACTGTAATTCACATTTTTTCGAAACGTAAGTCAAAAGTCAGGCTTAATGGTTCATTTATGTACGGATCTAAGACATTGCATGTGTTCTTTTCTCAAGGTTATTTGAAATGTTCATATAACCAGAAGTTTCTGATAATTTACCACCCACCTAAGTAGAGTGCTGATTTAATCAAGACAAGAGATAACGTAAAAGGGGAAGTGGAAGGAGTGACTAAAGAAAGGAGAAATAAAGACCTTTGGCTTTGCCACTTCTTTGAGTAATCCTTGGATCCCGTTGAATGATGGGGCTTGCAGGCAGACACGTGTTTATTCTACCTGCAATTTGAAAGAGTCTGTATATGAGCTTGCTCATAATTGGAAGCTACATAGCAGTGCTAAGCCTACAGAACATACACCTGAGGATTAATTTAAATTGGTAGTACTTTTTAAAGTGTTCTGGACAGTTTTATGACCATCAACAATATTTTTAAGCCTTTTAAATCCGTGTATTGCTCAGATCTATTATTATGATAAATAGTAAGCTTCTAGCCAAGAGTCACCAAAACAGTTCGTTCCCCCCCAATGTAATACTCTAGAAACATAAACGTGCCCTAAACTTTTTCAAAGAATGAGGTTTCTTTGCTAGAATAAGGATAGCTAAGTAATCGATCTGATTTCTGCAGATGGATACTTTCCAATGTAACACATGAGTTTATTTCATGTAACACCGCTAATGTTGAGCTCCAAGCAGACATTCTGCTGCTGTCCTAGCCCACAGTAGGGTATGAAGGATAAGTGATATAATCATATTGAGGCCAAATAAATTTTCTGCTTATGTTACATTTTTATTACCATTTGAAAACTAGTTTAAAATATCATTTAAAAAAATGAATGCTAATCAAACACTTCTCTAGTATCATGGGTTCTCCAGTATTGTACGTTGTTGAATTTACATGGCAGATTATTAAGTTTTCTTAGGCCAGCCTTGGAATTGGTATACACAGTCCCATTGAGATGTTGTAGGAAATGTAGAAAAGGTGATTATAGAGGATCATTTTGTTGCTGAGTCACATGTACTATTGCATCTTTTAGTAGATAAGCTTACAAGTATGTGGTTCTTGCTTTCTTCAGGCTATTAAAAAGTGGAGCACAGAGACCAAACTTACTGTAGTAAGAATAACTATGTAATCTGAATTAAACGCACATACTCTATTAACATGTCAAAGCATTATATTTATATCTCAAAATCAAAATAAACTGATATAAATGAATAACTGTGAATTCTTGTTCCATTTCAGGTCAAGAGGTGGAGAACAGAATTTCAGTTTCCATTTCCAAAAATATTATGGTGGATACTTGAATTATTCTGTCTCATGTTGGTTATAAATACTGGTTTAAAATCTTTGTATAAAAAGCCATGAGTGATTTTATAATTCCCTGTACTTGTTGTGTGTGTCTCTGTTTTTAAGACAATTAAAGTCTTTGGGTGTTTTCTGAGATAACTGTATGCCACGTATTTCTTGTAAAATCTGACAGGATTCATATTCTCTTTCAGGAGACGCTGATAGATTGGTGTGATGAAAAGGAACTTAATTTGATTTTAACAACTGGAGGAACAGGGTTTGCACCACGAGATGTCACTCCAGAGGTGAGATAGTCCTGGAATAAGAAAAATCTGCCCTTTAGTGTAGAAATCTATGAGTCTGGGGAGGAGGGTGATTTTTTTTTTTTTTTTTTTTTGAAATTTCCTCTGTAACTTTTCTTTGCAGTATCTCCGGACAGGTCAGGTGATACACAACTTGGAAGCAGAAAAAGCAATAGGGAACATAGCACAAGAGAATTACTCTGACCTTGGGTTCTGACCCAAAACAATTTTCGAACTAAAATGTGGCATAGTTTAATGGATTTCCAGTCTCCTTACAAAACAAAATTTTAACGGCTTTTTGGCATAATTTTCCTTAGCACTGCAGTACAACACTGCTAAGCAAAAACTTGTGTGGCTTTTGTTTTGTCCTGCACAAGGAAAAGTGGGATAAGAGAGATCTTTTAACTCTCCCTTGCAGGCTACTGCATTGACAACTGCTGCGTTATAAGTTAAGGTGTGAGAGGCAGATAGCAGGGGCAAAAATTCTGTGCAAAGCTGCTCTTGCTTTGCTTGACATCCCATTGTCAAAAAAAGCTAAACAGGCACAGAGATGGAGGTAACCTGCACTGGTAAATGTTGCACAGGAAATCTGGTTACATTCCACTTGTAAGGAGCTAAGGTAAGGAGAAAAAAGAAGGAAACCTAACCTGATATCCTCATGGCCAGGAGTTGTAATATGAAATGACTGTGTGACTGCTGTTGAAGTATTTTGGTATTTACGGTTCCAAATTAGATTAATACGAACTTTTAAAATCACATACTTTCTTTGGTTTGCTTATGTTCACTAAAGGGCAGAATTAAGATTGAGGGCCTGAAGTGTTTATTTCCATAATTTAACATACTGTGATTTCTTTTAAGTACTCATACAAGTTTTCAGTTGCTTAGACTTTCAACTTAGGGTTGATTTGATTTCATTATAACATGCCTACAATGCTTCTTACGTACAAATGTGTTCTGTCAACCGTGGCTGCAGTTTAGCTTTTTTCCATGAGGAATCTAAAAATATTTTTTTTTAATTTATTGTATAACATTTGTGTAACTAAACAAGCATGTAAAGAAAATGCTCCTGTACATTACTTCTGTTACTTCTCATGTTTTTAGATTATATACTAGAAACCTTAAGTAACTAAAACCTAAGGGTCTGTATATCAGAAAATGGGAACAGTATAAGATGACCACAGTGTGCTAGCTAGTGTAACTGAGTTTGCAGATGATTCACTGTGCTAAAGTAACACAAAATGAGAAGTGTGTTGGTTGAATTGGTCCCTTACTTGCAAACTAATTTAATGGTTTTGAAGGCTGTATTCCCTGCATTGTGTAAAAGGAGGGCTGAATTTCTGCTTCAGTTTTCCTGATTTATTACCTTTATGCATGATCGACCCTAGGCAATAGTGCCAGAGGAAGCATTGCAGCCGGTGCCAAAAATTAGCCACAGATTCTCAAGCAGCATTTGGGACAAGAAATAAAAAAGTCAGAACTCTGCATAACACCTAGTATTTTCCTTACGTTGTTTCATTGCTGTTACTCAAACTAATTATTTAAGACAGGTGGTAATGATTTGTTTGATTAGTTTTGATGTTAGAGAGCCATTTTAAAAATTATCTGAGTTGTTGAAGTGTCTCTAGACTATATAATAAAAACACGTTGATATAAAAATCATTAATAATTTGTCCTGAAGAAAAAATGCATTGTCTTTAAACATAATAGATGTGCGAGACTTCAGTTGGTTATAACCGAATTAAGTGTTCTGTCAAATTACTCCCATACTTAATAAGAATTTATACAGGACTGTATTTAGTCACTTTTCACTCATTTAAGTTGGAATAACTTGCAAGACTAAACTTAAATCACAGTGGAGAGATTGAATTTTAGTTTTTATTACGAAGTGGCCATGATAAGGTTTGTTCTTGTGATAGGATTTATTAGATCATTCATTCAAACAAATGTTTTTAAGGGAAAAAGATCAGTTTGCCAGTTGTGTCATAACAAAAAAAAAAGCAGAAGCTTTGGCCCCATATTTTATGTCTTTTGGGTCAATGAGAGAACCGATTCAAAATGGGAATTTCATTACGTCAACATGAAATGCCTTCAGGAAAACTTGCATTGATATAGGAAATGGTTTTAATCTCTCCCATGTATGGTGTTCGTCCAACATGCTCTCCTCTCGTTACTGAACCGGTAATGAAATGATGTGATCGTGGCATTGTGCTATTGAGACGTCGTCTTTAAGACATCATTTTAAAACTGGTAATAATTGTCTGTGATACTGAAAGACATTTCAGCATTTTTCCTGAGAGTAGGGAGAGTAGTCCCTCAGGTCATATTTTAGCTGGAATGATTCAGTCCTGCTTCTCCTTAATCCTCCTGTACTTTCGATTAGAAAATACGTTTTTCTGCTTTCTTTTCTGAGCATAGATACATAATTGCTATTGTACTGTACAAGATAATGCTAGTTCCTGAGAGTATTTACAGCCGAAAGAACTGTTAATTGAATTTTGTAATTATTGATTAAATTGAAATTAAGTGCCTAGCATAACGTATCTATTAAAAATAACTTCTCGAGACTTTAGAAATTTGATTGTTTCAAAGAAAATTACTCAGTTTCCCCACTCGCTTTGCCTTTTGAACACTGTATTGGAATCATACCAGGTTATTGCAGTTGTTTCAATGATGTGTAATGACTTTTTTTTCTTATAATGGAATAGATGATTTTACAGGTATTCACAATATCTGGTTTTCCTTACCTATCTCTGGTGCCTAAATTTATAGCCTCAGTCTAGTCAGTGGGTGGGGAGAAGCTTTTGAATTAGTTACTATGATACACGTTTTGAGGGTCCATTGAATTAAGCAGTGTGAATATCCTTCGCCTTCTTTTCTATGTGACTAGAAGTGATCAAATGCATGTGGATATTTTAAACACAAAATTCACCCAATGGATGGCTGAACTTGAAGGAAACTGTCTTGTAGATGTTATTAGCAGATAGTGCAGTTCTTCATCTATTAAGGCTGTTGATAGTAGTTCTCATTTGGAATAAAGCCAAAGTGGAGGCTTAATTTTGTAGATAGAACCACTTTTTTTTTTTTTTAAAGCATCTTATTTTGCCTATAATTTATGGGGGTAGTGTTTAAATCCATACTGGAAATGCTAATACAGTCTGCTTCTTGACTTAAAAAGTGTTTTTTTTCTAGACAGATGGCTAAAGTTAAGTTATTTAGGGAACTTTTGTATTTCCGGATGCAAACATTTTTCCTTGGAACTGCAGTACTTGAGTTGCAGACAGTTACAGTTCTCACAGAATGCTAATGATAATAAACATTATCTTTTGTGAAAATATTTAAATAATGTGGCAGCATTTTTGTGTATCACTAGGTATTCTTTGATACAGAAATGTATTTTCTCTATTGCTATTGGTCAATGCAAGGGAGAAAGGAAAAATCTCATGTATACAGGTGCTCTGTGCAGTTTTCTATCTTCTGTCTTCTCTATTTTTGCATTGCATTCATTCTTTTTGCAAAATTGTATATCCAAAAAATTCACTTGTTTGCCCCTAACAGAGTCTTCTAGCTGTTTTCTTACCCTTTGTCTCTAGTGTGGCTTGCGAGTCGTTTGCCCCACTACGAGACTAATTTTATGTACTTAGATAATAGTGATAAAAATCAACTTATTGTGCCTCAGCTGATGCTAGACATCCTTGAACTGTGTCGCAATGTGTATTCACAAATAGTTCAGCCACACTGCAGATAATAGTGAGCCCTGCAATTTTAAGATAAGGCTTCAGAAGCAGCATAGAAGAGCTCTTTTCCATCACGTAAAACCAGACAGATATTTCCTTACAGTCTTCATCCTTTTCCAATGCTCTGGAAAAATTATGAATGCTCCTTTTGGTTCTTGCTGATTATATTCTTCAGTATTTATAGGCTGTTTTTAAATGTATTTAGACACATACTTATTTTCACTTAGTCTGACAATATATGCATATTGGTTTATTCTTTTACCGAAGTTCTCTAGTCCATGAAAAGAAATTGCTGTTCTCTGGAGCTCCCTCCTATTTGTCAGCATTTTTCTGAAAAAAAGCATGCTCAGAATGAACAAAATAGTCCAAACCTGGCCACACAAAAGCCATGTCTGGAGAGAAGAAATTCTCTATTCTGCTGTAATACAAAGTCTGTATATGTTCAATTCAAAATTGCACCAGCATTTTTATAATCATTACCACCTACAAATTTTCTATCACCTGGCTTTTCCTATTCCCTAAGGTATCTTTCACTATTGCCGATCCCCAAGCTTCTTCTAAGAATTTAGTGTGAGTTTTTCTTCAAATTCCATTTTATTTATACAGACTATTCTAATGTTTGTATCCTTCCGTTTCTTTGTCCCGAGTACTGTTGGACACCCTCCTAATCTCTCTTATTTGTAGTTTTCATGTGTCCTGTCTGTTTGTTTGCTTTCCCTTCAACTTTGTTAATGAAGTAAGAGGCTTGTGACACAACAGGGTATGTCATGCTATAGCCATACTCTCACAGCAACATGTGTTCCCCCCAGGTTAACCCAAATCCACTGAGACATTTCCAATAACAACTTCTATTTAATAGGCAATAATTTAAACTAGAAATAATATGTAGGGTTTTTGTCCTCCTTGGTTCAAATAGCGCCTTTCCAGAGCAGCGGGATTTCTAGTATTGTTCATTGTGGATATGGGACTACTTGGGAGTTGGACTAGATGATCTCTAGAGGTCCTGTCCAACTCTGAAAATTCCGTGATTCTGTTCTTCTTCAGCAGTATTCAGCTCTTCTTAGTGCTGTACCAAAAACATCTTAGTGTTGTCACTGGGCCAAAAGAAACTAATTTTCTTTTTACAAACTGTCACTTCAGGATGGCTCCATAGTGAGAAGGAATGAAATCTTCATCTCGCATTGGGCATTAGTCATTTTGTGGTAGGAATACTATGAAACTGTACAACCTTTAATTACCCAGGCTGTTGTTTCATTTTTCAACCTTCAG